AAAAGTGTGCGATTTGACGTGGAATGGCCCATATATAAATATATTTTGCGTGTTCGCAGAAATTTACAGCAGATTGCGAAATCAAAAAAGGCTATTCTTAAAATACCTCTTCGGCAGATTCAAAATGGTCTAAAGAACAAAAAAACTTCTCTTTTTTAGAGGAAAAGGTAAAAAAGCTATTTGAGAGAAATCTGGACATGCCCAGGAGAAGATTATTGTTGAGGTAAAATGGCGAAAATACAAATGAATACTATGAGGAGTTTTTGAAAATGAAGAAGAAAAAAAGCAAAGCTCTTCCTCATGGCATATTGACAACAACTGTTTCCTTTATTACTCTTCCAAAGTATTATTCTTGTTTATTTCACAAGTCTACAACTAAAAGTAAGCTTTAAGAGCATAATAAATAGGTGGCATCGAAGCGAGCGAGAAATAAAAAGACAAGAGATGTTAATATATCTAGTTATTTTCTGGCAAATAATGCTTATTTTTATAGAAATTTCAAAGAAAATTGTGCGAAGTTAGTTTATAAAACTTTTAAAAGGAAAAAACCAAAACTTACTAAGTTAGTCTTAATTTGTTCAAAAAGACATACTGCTACCATTTTTATGAAGGTTTTTCCGACTCTATCTTCGTCAAAAACTTGGTTCTGGTATACTCAATCATTGTCGTTCTTAATGAGAAAGAGGTGTAGTCATCGTAAAACACTATTTTTTTGACAAATAGTTGCAGTAGAGAGCGATAATTTTTACACAATGTAAACAAAATTGTTGTATAAAAAAGTAACAATGCTAGTTGATAATATGTGAAATTTTTGGTATGCACTAAAATGACTCAAAAATTCAACAGAATTAAAATGAAGTGGTTTACAGCATACAAGTTCAGGAAGGACGGTTTTAGACGGCTTTAGCGGCTAGAAAAAAACGCTGCTGTCATTATTTTCACACAAACGACGAAGAATTTTTTCAAGGTGGAAATTCTTATTTTCAACTGGAAGAGAAAGTTCTGTCTTTAAATAGTATTTAGCAAAGGTTAAGAAAGACTGTCGAGAAAAAAGACGATCAAAATAATAGTTCTTCAACAATTAAATTGTAATTTTTGTTTTTCAGTGCGTAACAAGTTGGACTCTAAAAACTGGTTACCTTTACAGCACTATTTAGATCTTTTTGATGTTTACGAGTCTAAAATCTATGCAGCAAATTGAAAAAAAAAACAAGTTCTTATTACAGCTTACTATTTTTCTAAATGATACTAAACGATTAAAGAATTAATAGCTGAAAATTGTATCTAGTTCGAAAAATTTAAGAAGAGAACAAGTATGGAACGAGTCGCCAGCTGAGCAAGGGCTTTCTGTCTGAAACTTGCATCAACTTCAGCTACTTGTCAGTAAGTAAAAACGATTCAGTGCAAAAAATTAAAAGTTCCGATTCCAAAATATCTACGGCATTCTTCTCAGCTACAACGTCTTCTTAAACTTAGTAATTGAAACTTAGTAAACAAAATCACATATATTCAGTTTTCCACATGTTCATAATAAAATCGTCGGGTATTAAAAAATACTTGATATAATCTTTTTATTGCTGATTGCTGCTACTCAACTTTTTAATAGCCTAACCAACGTATAATTCTATGTCAGCGGAACAGGCGTGAACTAGGTGAAGTGAACAGAAGATGTTAGTGAGTAAGCAAATAAAGTTTTAAACCTGGATGAAAAGAGTCATTAATAACATTAGTTTATATTTGATTACTCAGCTATTATTTTTTTCTTTATAAGAACACAATTTTTGGAAAACTAACGGAAAAGCTAAATAATTTTATACAGTAACCTCATTTTCAAGCACATATGAATACTCACAAAAGGCTTTTTTGTCAAGGCAACAAAATTATCATTTTCTCAATTCTAATTGAAACTTCTGAAAAATATATTACAGTTTCTAATCTTCTAACACTTTCTTACTTTTCCATTGACTGCCTACCACCTTATATACAGCCACTAAATAAATTAAGCTCGCAGAAAATAACATTCAGTAATGCAGCCCAATGTATACATAAAAACCAAAAAAAAAGGGTAAAGTGTAGTTGTAAAAAATTAAAGATGCAGCAATAGTTTGGAAAAGTTTATATGTTAACAATTCGATAAGAATCAGTGTAATTTAGACAAGAAAGCATTAATTTGTTGATGACAAGACATTAATTTCTGACTATCAAGTTGAATGAAAAATTAGTATACAGACACATTTGTTAGCCAATAAAGATCTGGTTACAATAAGTAAAGTTCAAAAATAGAAGTCAAACAACTTACGTAAAGTTGATTACAGGAGAGCCGAGTGCTAACGGTGCACCAACAGCTAACGTCAATATTTCCGTATATCCTTCCCCATTAAAACTTATCGGGTAATCAAGAGTAAAATTACTGTCTCCTTAAGCAAGTCCACGCAAATAAATTTTGATATGAAATAAGACTTTCTGATTGCATTTTAAACTCAATAAAAAAAAGCTGTAGTTAACACTGCAAAAAACAATTTCATTAGCAAAAAAACTTAGAGTTTAACTACGTCTGCAAGAAAATTTAGACTTGCTTGGTTGTGCTAACAAAAATGAAAAATCAACAGAAATGCTTTTAGAAGTGGACTGTCTGTAAAAAAAATGACCAAGGACGTGGTAAACTACACACAGACCGTTTACATTAGTTTCCCATACTCCAAGCATTCTTGCCAGTGGTAGAAGCTCTGTAGGTATTGGCAGCCAATCGCCCACTAAAATAAATGCCATGTAGATTGGGTCCAATTAAACATGTTTCTACATACAATCCGAATAAGATCAAAAAGTTCCAAAATTTGCTACATCTGCCAACTTTTGATCGTGATACTTGAGCAAATTTGTTATCTAAAACAATCGAAAAAATTACCATTATCAAAATTTTACACAGATTTTTGTAAGAAAAACAAATTTTTTTACCTGTTGCGTTGTCGTAAATACATATTCCACACGACCGTGCACAATGGGAATAAAAAAAATCTGTGGCATCACGTTGTATCTCACATTGACCTTGTTTTTTCCAGTAGTTACACGTGCCATAGATATCTCTACACGGACCTGTAAACTAACGTTTCGTTATTTGCTCATAGCTCCCTAAAAGCTATTATGTAGGACTATTAAAATAGGGTTGTCATCTGCCTGCGAGAAACTTTTGTCTCTTTTTTTTTAATTTAATTTAAAATTGGTTTTACTTCCCTCTGCTTTCCATTTACTTCCCTCGGCTTTTATCTTGACTTTTTAAAAAAATTCTCCAAAATCGCTTTCAAGTAAAGATCTGTAATATGACAAAGACAATTAAACAAGTAAAACCTAACGTAATATAAAATCTGTGCGATAGACCTGTACCATCCGACTTTATGCTCTTGCAGATGATTGAAAACATTGCTTCTAGTATTGCATGGGAAAGCAAAATTTAGTTAATTTGACTTTAATTCTTTGCTCTAAACTACACTCAAAACTCATCTTTTACTTCGGCAAATAAGAAAAAAAAATTCACTCTGAAATCCATAAATTTAGTGAGCTTAGTTATCTAGCAACAGCTTGGCTCTGAACCTTTTTATTCGATGGTCAAAAAAATTAAGTAGGCTTCTTGCAAAAAGTGTATTTCCTTGTTTCTAACAGCACTTTGACGACAATTACAAAAAATTTGATAAATGAGCATAACTTTTTACTTAATGCCTTGATACCTAACTTAGTTTATACACACTATTACGAAGCAAATAACTCTGCTCTGTCAAAACTAGTAATCTTACAGAAAGATGTTCTCAAATCTACTAACGCACTTCCTATGGAGGAACGAGGCTGATGTATAAAACGGTAAAAAAACTTTTTAATGCACACTTAGGTTGTTTGACAAAATTTAAAGTACTTTAGCGTACTGAATTTAACCTATCTTGCTGAGTCGGAGGTAACCTAAAATGTGTCGCAATTTGGAATTTTTCGAAAATTGTTTTTTTCTATACTACCAGTAAAACGCTTTTCTGTAGCAGCACAATAACCAATCACACATTTTTGGCAGATAGTAAGATTCAACTTCCTACGCTGCTTCTACGACCTGTTTTCTTTTTTGCAGCCTCTTCATTGACTTGATTGCCACTTTCCACCAGAAAAAACTTGTAAGGCTTTTGTTAAGAAAAATGTAAAAAATTTTCTGCGCGAGGTGTGACAACCCTACCTTAGAAGATAAAAAAAGCAATTTTTGTCTTATTTCAGAAACTTCAAAATATTTTCAAGCTAGCGCAATTTATTTCAAAAAACAGCTTACGATCACAGTTTTTACCCATCCATCCTGGTTTGCAGATGCATTCATAACCATTCCAGACACTTATACATCTAATATAATTTTTACACTGGTGTTTTGAACAGCTTTTAGAATCTGTCAAAAAGATACCTAGAGATGATAAGTTACAAGTCTGAACTGTCACTACATAGTAAAGTTCATAAAAAAATAGTAGTTACTGAACAAGTGTCACACCACGACAACGGCACATTTCAACTTCATAACATTTTTCCCTTTAGCAGAAAAATTGATAACCATGTTGATAGAAAGCACAATCTCAACTGTTACATTTTTTCGAATTTGGTTACGCCTTCAATACTCGGAATTTCTGTTCACTGCGTTTTTACTGGACTAGAAAGGAAAAGTAACCTTGCTCGGTAGAAGTTTGGGAGGAATCAGATGATTTTAGTTTACCAACGTCATTGGAAGACGAGCCCAAATTTGGAGTCGGTGTGGTTTGAGAAACTGGATCGTGATTCGCAGTATAAAGCACAGCATCTGTTGGGCTTTTCTGGGTGGTTTGTGTTACAAAGACATTACTATTCTCAACAATTTTCCAATTATCAAGATCAACTTCAACTTCTCCTTTTTCAAACGTTTTTTGCAAACTGCTCAGATTGTTACTGCGTCTTTCGTTACTGAAATTCCTTTTTCAAAAAATTTCATACTGTGTAAGCCTCTGCATCAATCGCAACTAGAATATTTACTCGTAGATTATTCGCATTTTTATTTGTCTTTACTTTTAACTTTATTTATTTTTTGATTCCCCATCAGAAATTGTTTTATTTAACAAAACTGCCAACCTCTTTACTAAACACTTCAGAATATCTGCCAGAGAATAACGTGTAGTTGTCATAGATTTATGATTTTAATCAGAAGCTTAAAATTAGACCAAGTAAAAGTTAAAAAGTTGCTTTTAAGCTTCAAGAATTGGACACAACAATTTTTTTTATAGAACTTCAATTTAACTGATTGGAATAAAAAAGTAGCTTATTTATCAGCAGCGTTTCTGCATTATCAGCTGACAAAGAGTGCGGCAAAATTTAGGTCTACTCCACTAAAACGGCACTGTTAAATCTTGATAGATCCTTTTCTTTCCGGGTGTCAGGTTTTGCTGTTTGAAAGAATGACCATTTGCAAAAAGCGGCCCATCAGCAAAAGAATGAAAAAATGGTCGACATTTTCTTAAGGAACGGACAAGCTTAATTCATAAAGTGCAGTAAATTAGGTTGTTTTTTGTGGAAGGAAGTTGTTTCATGCACTGCATTTTAACGTTGAACAAAAAAAACTACGTATTAAAGTTCAGCAGTTTCTTGTTCTCCATGCCGTGTGGACTAGTAAAAAAAATGTTGGTAGTTATGATTTGAAGACTAAAAAATTCAATAAAAATTGTTTAAACAAATACTTCTATTTTCTTTCTATATTACTTAGAATATAGTTACTGAAATCTTGATAGATAATGATTAAATAGCTGAAAAGAAACGTGATGGCAGCTGATCTATTTAGAAAACATCTCAAATTATACCTCCTTTGGCTGCACGTGCCTTCTTCAAAGATGAACTAATCTTAGTTCTTTTAACCTACTATCGCCCCTCTGCTTATTCTTTAACTTCCAAATTCTAACACTCTTTATATTATCTTCGTAAATTATTCTGCTTAATCTGAAAAATCAGTTTCTTATACAAAATCCATGCACTAAGCGGGAGCTTGGTATAGTCATCCCTTTGAATGTTGTCCCCCAGCCAGATGAAAATTTCACTAGATTTACTTCTTCCTCCCGAGATATTCCGCAAAGCTAAAAAAGGAAAGAAGGCGAGGCAAAATGTGGAAGAATGCACAGACCATATTGCTAAAAATTCTTTTGTTTTAAAAATCCCACTTCTATACGACAATCACTTACAGTCTTACTGCCTGAAACAGTTAATTGGTAGGGTATTACGGTTTGGATGTTCTTCTAAAATAATTATAAGTTACGATAGCTGTAAAAAAAATAGTTATTGAGCAGTAAAAACTTTGAAATTTAAAAAGTTGATTAAAAAAATTACTGGCTATATTTTAACGACTGAAAAAAAAATTTTTCAGCGTACTTTTCGTTATCCTTTTTATTTTTCAGCATTGATAGTAACCGGTTATAGAAGTTGATGTAATTCTTATTGAAAGTTTCATAGAGATGTTTTCGTTCGAGTTCCAAACGTTCTTCATCGCTCAGCTGGTCGATTGCTTCCGTAAAACCATCAACATCTTCGTCATCATAGGCACTTCCCTTTATTTTTCTCGTTTCTAAAATTGATATTGTCTCCTAAACAATAATGTTCTCAAAATTTTGTTGCGGTAGAGCTTTATCATGTTTATCACTACTAAACTTAACAACTAATACTTGGGTAGTTTAAGCAGTAAATTGATATGCTGAGGGTTACGCATTGGACGGTTAATGTTGAGCATCACATAAATTATTTGAAAAGCGATTCATCTTTTATTCAACTAAACCTTATGAAATACCAAAAAGACGGTGAAAACATGATTTTATGGCTTAACTGAGACAAAAATTATTTTATAAAATCAAATTATTATCATTTTTTGTTGAATGCGGGAATTCTAAAACAACGTCAGTGATAACAGGCCGTTAACAGTTTGTGCAGGAAATGTTTTGATGTGATATCACTGTGGGTACGCTGTGTTTTCAGCCAGCCTACTGACAAATAGAATTTAAAAATTTAAAAACTTCATAAAATTGAGTATCAGGTGTGGCGCTGTTTATTCCTAAGTTTATTCTGAAATAATCTAAATTTGCAGTCATTTTATAGGATCTTTTAGCTTGAATTAACTGCAAAAATTATTGTTTTCTGTAATCAAATTTGGACTAAGCAATAATTTAAAAAATCCCAAAGTCAAAAATTCCTGACTGTGAAAAATTGTAACAAGAAAATTTAGTAATTTAAGATCTTAATAAAGTTTTAAATTACCACACTATCAAAAGTCTAGTGACTTTTAAGGATTATAAATATTGAAATTTTTATCAAAAAAATTGTCTTTATTTTGTTTTTGTATTTAATGATGTTATCTCACATTATTCTGCTAACACTCAAAGTTCGTTTTTTAGCTAGTTGAAACCATAAGCACCCGTAAGCCCTCTTGTTTTCCATCAGAGTTAAGAATCAGTCAAGAAAGAATTTTTTTTACCCAAAAGAAGGAAGAAATTTTTGATTTTTATCAAAACTGCCGTTTTTAAATCGAAGGGAAGAGGATAAGGATGAAGAATCTCCAGCGGCGTTTGTACAACTAAATCTAAAAAAAACATTGACGGCCTGCTCTAACTGTTATCTTGCTTCAAAATCTTTGCCTTCTGCTATGCAACGTTGCATTTATTGCTTTCCAATTATGTAATCTTTAATTTACGGAATTTTGCTTTGTATAGGCCGCGGCATCTTTTTTTTTTCTTAGGTTTCCCATCTTGTCTGGAACAGCTTCTGCAACTATAGAGCTCTACACTTGCGAAATTCCGCGGCGTCATTCAAATGCCGCAACGGACCGTCACTAACTACTAGTAGCCTGAGCCATGAAGAACCGAAATTTGCTATCTTTAACAAGACCAGTTCTCAAGCAACAAGTGAACTGAATTGGTTAACAGACAGGATAGGCTGTAAAACTTTAAAATAGAAATAAGTTCTGTATCATTTAAAAACAGAGTTTGGATTCTAAGTGGTAAAGTAGAGACAATTGATAAAACAATCTTTTTTTTGTCAAATAATAACTGAATTTTGAAAGCTTAATTGCGCCGCAAATGTCACCGTTGCCATCGTCGTTGCTGTCACCATGTACTGGCCTCAAAATCAAAAAGAAAAGCTACTTCTTTTATGACTTCCGGTAACCTACTCTGTTCTCTGCAGATTCAAGATTATATTATTTATTTCCAAAAGCCAAGTTAACAAAAAGTTACCCTTCTGAATAAGTAAAAAAGAAATATAAAAATTAAATTTTTTAGAAGTAACTTTAAATCTTCTGTTTTCAGACTTTCTATTTGCAATATTGATCTCTGCAATATTGATCTTGATCAAATGTAGATTAAATCTACTTTACTTTCCCAAAAATTCTTCACTCAATAATTTCAAAAATAAGAATTGTTTCTTTCATAGAAGAAATTTTTTGCTTTTCCAAGAAAAGTTTTTCTAAGAAGGGTTTTTGGAGAAGTGTTTAACAGGCAAAGTGGAAAGTAAGGAAGTAAACGCGTTTTTTAAAAGTTTTGCACTAAGGCGCATTGGAAAAAACGTGGTAGAACTGTAAAAAGACAAACTTCTTATTAGTTTTATCTAATTTTTTGATACTGTTTAGCACAACGCGCAGAATCGCACTAAGTAGAAAATTGTTCGGTAAGAGATAGCTACATGAACTTTCTTGCAGCTGCTTTTACATTTTTTTTGTAAAAGATTGGCGGCTTTCAAACAATGCTTATTCATGTCTCGTTATGAAGCCTAAACTAAATTTTTCGCGAATAATCGTATGAAAAATGTTAAATTTGTTGTGTTTCGATTATAGCTAGAAAAAAGTAATAGTAAGGACAAAATTCTGTCGCAGATTTAAAGGAAAAAAAATTAATGTTAGCATTTACTAATAGGTGTGTTCTCAAGATGTTTTCACTGTAGCTAACATTTCTCGCTTGCTTACAGTAAAATGTAATATTGATTTGCTAAGGGATGA